CTCCTTATTTCTAATTTCAGAAATTTGTTCGTGGGTGGCTTGCACGGACACTTTACAAAAAGATGAAATGCGATAAGATTTTGCAAGAACGAGAAGCAAAAGTAGTTATCATACAGGTAGGCTGCATATATTAATTACATCAGTATTATATAGTTCATGTTTTTTAGAAGCGTTTGTGGAAATTATATATCGTATATGCGATATAGACTTGGGTAAGTATTCTCGATATCTTATTCAAGAGCTTTTGCAGATGGTATATATATCTCAGAAATACTTTCAACTTATATTATTAGAGGCTGTTAAGCTTTGATGTCTCCTTGTTTCTAATTAAATTTTTAGAAATTTGTTCGTGGGTGGCTTGCACGAAAGCTTTGTCAGAAGTTGTTATATGAAGCGAATACAAGGAAACGAGAAAATGCGTCAATTGTTATCCAGGTGAGTTTCTAATGGTACACTATTTGTTCATTATCGGAACTCTAGTCAGTTTGCCTGGATTTTTATTGATTGGAAGTTAATTTTAAAAACACGTTCGTCTTTGGTTGACACAGAAATTCAAAATGCAAAAAAAGGGTTTTGCAGAAGCAAAAGAATGCAGCATGCATTTTGCAGGTAAACTTAAAAATATGCTAGTTTGCTGATTGACGCAGTTATTATCATAATTATGCAAAGCTAGAGGTTAGAAGTTTGCATGAAGCAGTGAATGACATGAAAGCTCAGAAATTTTGGTTTATTAAATTGGAGAATGAACACTTGCTTTTTTTGCCATTAGAAATTCCGAAGTTTTAACTTGTAGAGGTGCATTCTGCATGAAATGCCTTCACATAGGTTCAACAATGCTGCAGTGGTGCTACAGGTAGTGGTGCGCTTACATCTTTACATTTGTATGCTATATATTTTGCGCTTCAAGCTTGTCCCTATTTTGAGACTTAAATATAGAATTTGGGTACTTTATTTTTCCATCATGAGGGGATAATTCGTAAAAACTACTGTAAATGTTACATAAAGTAGTCTTATGTAAACAAGAATATGCAGTAATCACTTTGCAGATGTATTAGATATTTCTTTTTGTGGCAGCTTTTGTTTGGTACCTTGAAACTTTATATGCTGTACATTTTTTAAAATTTTCTACTTTTCAAGCATTCATGAGTTTAAATCTGAGAAAAAATCTTATAGATACAGAAATTTGCTTTATTTTAACTCTTCTAGCGATATTTGCGCTGATGAATAGCACGAAGAAAATATTGACTAATGCACCGGAAAGAAGTTTTCCATGAGCAAGAAAATGCATTTATTGTGCAAGCGGGGTTTCTTAGAATAATGTAACAATTAAGTTGGGTCATAGGCAGTCGTTTTCTACTAAGTCTGAAAAATTTTTCACAATGGTCGGTGTATGATCTTCTTGTAGTCACTGCAGTTTTCTCTCAATACTTCCCGACACTTTAATTCTTATAGTTGCGTGTTCATGTTTAATTTATAGGAACAGTCAATGAGNAAGTATAAAGAGAAATAGGAAAAGTTGAATTAAATGAAGTAGAGTTATATTTTTTAATGAAAATATCAATAAATATTAGTAAGGAATTTGCAGAATTCCACTTATGTCACGGAATACTCGGATAACGAAATTGAGAGCAAAGTATATGAATGCGAAATTATCAGTAGTGCAGAATACTTGCGGATATTACGCGAATTAAAAAGACAACATAATCTTTTGCGGATTAGACGTCAGAAGTTTTTACAAGCTGTCGAGGTATTTTATGAATAGCACCAAATTGATGGTAAAGAACGGCATTTTTTTTCTGGTTTTAGCAACAGTCATATAATTAGTATTACAGAATAAAATCAAATATGCAATCTTCCTTAAAGCGGAGAGAGATCGACGCGTAAAAGCTGCCACAATAGTACAGGTATTTTTTCTTAAGAAAGTAGTTTAATAATTACAAACAGAATTAAGATTCAGATGTACTGAATTTTTTAATTGCACAAAATTTACAGACATGGTGGCGTGGCTATCTTTCTCGCAAGCGTTATATGGCAATTCGCAATAAAATTGCTGCGAATCGTGTTGTTCGTCAACAAGCAGTGTCGAATGAGGAACGTTCTGAGCTAATGCAACCGATTATGAATCGTGTAATAAATGCAATGAAGAATTTGAACTCAAAGCATCTTTACATTCGTTACAAAGCTACTGAAGTATTGCGTTAGTTTTTGTTAACTTGCTTAGAGGAACAGAATAATGCATCAGTTAATTGTGATTATAAAACATTGTTTTATTTTGCAGAATACTTTTTATCACTGATACAAGCTGATTTGCTTTTCATTGCTTTTATGAAATATTTTAGAAAAATTTGTTGGTTTGTCAGAACTGTGCGCTCAGTATGTGTTCAATAATGGCGGTCTAGAATGTATTTTGGATTCCTTGGACGGCTGCAATCGCGGTGTTGGATCAACTGAAGTGGTGGTTCCTCTTTGTTCCATCTTATGGAATGTATTGAAGGTTTCTAACTTCATTTAAACTTTCGTTCAATCTGGCACATTCAATTTTGTTTAAATTTCAAAATAGATAGTGTTTTGTGTGCCTATATCTCCTAAGAAGACAGAAAACACAGTTTCAGTTTAAAATTATTCGAGGAAAACTCGACGAGCAACGCCGACAAGATATTGTGAGACAGTGTTGTCATTTCATTTTAGCATTCTACAGAGTTCCAGACGTGGTGACCGATTTAACTGCAATTATAGTAGCATTAAACGGGAACAATAAACAGGTGAACAGTCATAAAATTTCTACTATTTTATTGATGTGCGAGGTCAGTTTGTATATAATAAGCTTGTGGACTTCATGCTCCCGCACTTTGTCGCTCTTATAGGCTATTGCTACAGCTGTGGACTAATTTGGAAACGCAAGTTCGTGGAATTTCCGTTTTTCTTTTGTAATCCACGAACTATTCTCTAATTATTTTCAGCTTAAAAAAGAAGCACCTTATTTCATTGCGGAGCTGACAAAGAAATTTGCTAAATTATCAGGATGTGACGAGAGAGTTATTGCACTCCGAAAGCTCCAAAGTTGTTTGCTAAATTAGAAAAACGAAACTATACTGTTTATTTCGAACTTTTTATGACATATTATCGAGAAATGAATTGATTTCGATTGGTCCGCTGACGGTCTCATTCGATACAAATTGAATAAAGCTCTTTTTACAGTCCTATATTTCACAATCCTATATTTTTTTTATATTTCTCATTATCTTATCATTATTGTTTGATACTTCAGATGTATAATACATCTCTCTTTTCATTGTAATTTCGTTTCACATGTTGTGTCATGTTTTAAAATAATTAACTTCATTTAGACAGTCTTGTCTGAAATTGTCTTGGATCAAAGCTCAGATATAACAACGATTATGCGTATTTACTTCTACTTTCTATCTAAAATTAAGTTCATGCATATTACAAAGCAGACTATTAAGACCGATATGTTGTCGGAATTTACCTGTAGTGCATTACAAAAACTTAGTGAAAGTTTACTTTATTTTTCGGAGTATATGATAAGGTGGCATTAGATCTGTTTCCTGAGAGGAATTCAATTACTATTGATAATTAGTTTAGCAGGAAATATTTACTTAAAAGGATTAATAACCAGAGTATATTTGCTGGCAAGCGATACATGCAGTTTCGTTCATTTGCTATCTTGTGCAAGAGGTGCACATGCGATTTTCTGGAAAAAAGATGAAAAAAAGCTAAAAGCAGGATTATAAAAATTTCCGATTGTGGGAAAAAACCTAAAATGAGTCTTCATTGCTGACCATTTCATGATTTTGCTGATTGCATTAGAATCCAGAGTGAACTCCATGAGTGAGAAAGCCTGGTTCAAGATTTGTTGGTGTCAGTCCATTATTCGAGAAACCTAACATCTCCAAATTACTGATTAAAGCTAATATGTTCTGTGGAATGGATTTAAAATACGGTAATCAAATTGAATTCAGTTGCCGTCCTCTTAATTCTTGTCCAAATGCCATTGACACAAACAGGAAAGCAATCAGCGAAATTAAGTTTGATAAGATTTTTTCAAGTAAAATTTTTTTAAACAGAATTGAAGAATTTGTTTATTTCATTTCTTCCTCTTTAACCATTTCGCTTGACTGAGATAGATATTTGTGGTAAAATGTAAAGCGAAGATAATCATTTCTTGAAAATGTAAGATAATAAATAATTAATGATGCAATCATCGTATGAATAGGTCATGCTGACAGTTACAAGCTGACTATTTTCTATAGTGAATCACGAAGTATTTGTGTAAACACTGAGAAGCTTAATGGAAAATTACAATTTGTAGTTGGAAATGTTAAAGAGCGAAATGATTGTAAACAAATTAATTATGCATTTAGTTGGAGTTTAAGGGAGAATTATTACTCGTAATATTTTCTAGGATAATTCTTTAGTAATTCATTCTGTTTATTTCTTTTAATAACGAACACTTTCTGTTTACAGATGTAAGAAAACAAATAAAACATTTACGACAAATTAAATTTAGGTTTGTATCGCCACTGAAATTTTTATTATATTCTATAAATTTCTAAATTTATCGATAATAAAGGAATTTCAGGTACTGAAAATGTATCGCAAAATATTGTTCTATGATTGGTAATTTTTCAAGTAATAAAATTTCATATTAATTTTGCTTTACTACTGCACCATTTGATTTTTATGAATTTTTTTAGTTTGCCATTATTAATGAGGAAAAATTAAAATATAAAACAATGGAGAGGAAAGGAATTATGCTGAACTAAAATTTCTTTCCTTTTTCAACTATGAATAAGGCAAATTATTTGTTCAAATTTTTGTTTCATTACTTTTGAAAAATTTAATTTACTACTACAGCAATTATCAGAGAAATTAAATTTTTTTTTAACATTCGTCTTGTTACTTAATGGTTTCTGTCATCGACTAATGTGTAGAATGGATTAATTCGAAGAAATTCAACTTTGCAACTAAGATATTCATTTTACTACGAAATGGATTAATTCGAAGAAATTCAACTTTGCA